ATATATATATATATATCGTTAATAATTTCATATTAATTACATTTCAAAATGATATTTTAGGTATATTAGGATAAATAAAATATATTATTAAAATCAATTTTCCCTGTTCTTTTTACTTTTTAAAAATGTGCTTACTAGAAAATCTAAAACACCAAGCATAGCCCTTTTTAAAGGCATTTATGCTTATTGTTGCTCCTGCCTGGAATGTTCTTCCCAGAGAGATCCACATGGCTCACTCCCTTAGTTTCTCAGGTCATTACTCAAATGTGATTTTCCATGAGGCCTTCCCTGACCACTCTCTTTAAACTTGTGATCTTTTTCTGCTCATCTAACCTCCTCTCACCCAAGCTTGTGCAGTCATTATTCCTCTTCATTGCCCTATTGTCTGCCCTTGCCAGGACATAAGCCCTGGGAGGCCAGGGATTTTTATTTGCCTTTTGTTTTTTCTTCATTGCTGTATCTCAGTGCCCAAGATGTACTTAGAACTTTCTATACATCAAAAGATAATATTGTTTAATAAGAGGAAAATGTCAAAGATACAAATATTTTTTTCCTTTATTTGTTTTTCTGATATAGTGAGAAGCCACTGGTGTTTTCTTCTGAATGTAAGTTTACAATTTTACTTTATAATTTTGTGAAGTATCTAAGGCAATTCAGTTAAACAGTATGAAGGTACTTCAAAACGTTCATGGAAAGATTTGTATTATCTTTTAATTCTATTTTTCCATGAACTTTTGAAGTACCCTTGTATAGCAACAAACCTTGTAGGGGAAATTGTTTTTACTGCTGACTCGGTAAAAGCAATTACTGGTATTTAATGAGTCTCTTGATAAATACTTTCAAAGTTGAGTGTTAGGGGCTCCTTGGTGATGATGCTAGAGGGGGTTTGGGCTGGGAACAAGTAAATTGAGGGTTTTTTCTGTCCTCAAGGAGCTCCTGGTCTCTGGTCGTAGATACCACAGCTCTGAAATGCAGCTCTTTTTTCTCCAACTAGCTTTACAATAACTCTGAGAAGATTTATTATATATTCTCATTTATAGATGAAGGAATTTCAAGATAAGAATAAACTCAAGTTGAGAATGAGGTGTAGTGTGTTGTGGAAATACCAACTCAAGAAAGGCATGTGAAAAAAATACATCCAAAGTTGGACAGTTAGCTCAATTGCTTAGAGCATGGTGCTGATAACACCAAGGTCTGGGGTTCAATCCTTGTACCATCCAGGAAAACAAACAAACAAAAAATCAGACTCTGTATAAGAGACTAGTAATTCAAAAATAACTTTTATTTTAACTTACATGGGTGATGAATACAAATGCCACAAAACTAAAAGCACCTCCTCAACCAAAAATAAAACATAGAAGTGAATACAAAAGATACAGAATTAATCACTCATGCAATATTCAAAAAATAAACAAAACAAAAACAAACCAAACCAAAAACCCTGTAACATTTGTGATTTGACTTTCTATAAAAAGAACCATTTCAACCATTTAATGTAGACTACAGACTATATATACTAACTATAGACTGTACAATGTACCTTTAAAATGAAGGATATATGCATATATATAATATTTATAAATATACAAATATGTACATTATAACTTCACAGTTGAAAGAACTATTTTGCCAGAAGCCTAGCAAACAATTTTCACTTTAAAAGGAAATGAGTCTTTTTTAAAAAGTCTTGCTAAAATGTGAATATTTAAAATGACATCTAAATGATATTTTATACAAACACATCCAAAATACAGTTGATATTCCACAGTTTAAATTACACTCACATATTGTTTTGATACCTTGGCATACCCCACCTTGTATACTCTTTAGAGGAAGAAAACTTATTTGGTAAGACTGCTGAATGGTCTTGTATTGTTTAATGTACTTGCTACCCTGATACTGAAGCAATAATGAGAGCTGCTGTTTAACTGTTTGGCCAGGGGATTCCATCTGGTGGTGAATGATTTCTCTGAGACAGTAACCCCTCTTCAGGGCATCCTTCCTAATCTCACGGTCATTTCAACAGAAGCAGGGACCACTTTTTTTTTTTTTTTTTTTCCCTTTTTTTCATTTTTCGTGTCCGGCAACGGATCGCA